CAAGTTTTAGTAAATTCCTGGATCTAGGTGGTTATCACATTTGCTGGTGATAACTAGATTTTATTGAGATTTTATCAGGGTTATTTCTTAAACAAAAGGTCGTTATATTGCAGTTTATTTTTAAAAGTAGTATGCTAGTGTAACGTTTCGTTTAACCCTGAGAGGGGCGTTACATATAGTCATAACAGGAAAGACCGGGGCGAGATCGAATTGAAGCAACATCATGAACACATATGAAGCCATCTAGTTGGAATTCATGACAAGTGCAAGTCCCTTCTCTTAAATTGACAACATATGATCTTCCTTTTATGTCAAAAACCTCAAACTCAAAATTGCATGATGGCTTAACCTGTAAATACAATGTGTGAAAAGTAAAAAAAATATGTTTAATAGTTGAAATATAAAAATTTAAAGTTTAAAGTCACATAGTGTATTCAATGACCTGCATTAAAGCTGCACTTGCTTGAGATAAAATAGGCAGAGAGCCTAGAATGGTTAGCTGCAACAACTTCTCTACGATCACAAAACCATTTCTGCATTGTGCCTAGAATAAATTCTACCAACTTGCAAATTGGATACTCACGAGCAGTGACAAAAACAACATTTAGAGACTCTGCATTATTGGACATCATAACAGAGTATCTATTGCGACTAGCATATGCACGAGACCACTTGTTGTTACCAATTTTTTCCAAGTACTTTAGTATACGAGGGTCATCATAATCAAGCATGGATAGATACTCTTCACATTCATGCACTGAACCTGCCCTGGCTGCCTGTAAAAATTTCCAAGACACCGAACGTGCAGATCCACGAAATTTGGATTTTATATTACCTAAAACGTGGTAAACACAAAAACCTTGTTCCGCGTGTGGAAAAACTGAACGCACGGCATTTAAAATTCCTTCATGACGATCGGACACGACATATAGGTCATCCCTGTGTTTAAGAGACTTTTTCAACATCTGGAAAAACCATGTTCAGTTCACAGTGTTTTCAACACTACAAATAGCAAATGCAAGTGGAAAAATTTGTTTGTTGGCATCCTGAGTGCGTGCCATTAGTAGTGTTCCTTTATAATAGGACTTCATAAAAGAACCATCAACAATAACTACTGGAATGCAATGTTCCCATCCAGCCCTCCATGGCGCGAGAGACATAAAAAAATACTCAAATTCTCCATTTAAATTGCAAGAATATGAGACAATAGAACCTGGATTTGCTTGATCCAGCATATAGCACAAAGACGACATCCTATTATAAGACTCGTTTTCAGATCCCTGAGCCAACTTCATTGCAATTTCCCTTGCATGCCAAGCTTTTTTATAAGACATTTTAATACCATAAAGTCTTAGCATGTCTGCAATAATATTTTGAGGTGTGTAAACTTTTTTGGAGGTGTCATCATATTCATGCTTAATGAGTTCGGCAATAAGAGATGCAGTTGCTTGACGACTATTAGCTTATCTAAGATCAACTGAACATGTGTGTTTGATATCAAATCTGAAATATTGAATGAATCAAAATGAGAACTCAGATGTATAGAAATGAGAATGAAGTGGTTATTAAGAATTGATTTCAATGCAGTAACATATGAAGAGAAGTAAAAAAAATCAGACCTTTGCACTTGAAACAAGCCGCTTTCATCAACACGGACTCCTCGGGTAGACCACTTGCACTCTCGATCGATACAAACTACATGCAACACGTTAGGAGATGATGATTTTGTCATGTATTGGAAACAATTTGTGATTGCAAACATCTACAAATCAAAATCCAGTTCTTTCTTGCTTTTATAAATAGCATGGAGAGCAATACGAGTGGGGTGAAAATGGGAGACAGAAGATGGGAGAGGAACTCCACATGAACCTGGCGAGACATCATTATACGAATCTTCGTCAAAAGAATAAGGCCTCACAACACTGCATTGAATGTTGGAATCCTGCTCTACACAATCACCAGACCATGTGGTTGTTTCATCCGCTCCATCAACTACTTCCAAACCTTCAACATCACAGGACTCATTATCACAATCATTTGGCACACCTACAATACATTCATTCACACATTAAAAAAGAAAAATGAAATTATAAATAATACATTCATGATATATAAAGTATAAGACATAAAATAATTATACGAAAATAAATAAACAAACTGACCTTCATGTCCATGAACTACTTCGACACAGAGGGTAGGTTATTCAGTTCTGACTGAATGCACTTCATTTGAAGATAAAACATCAAACTAGAATCATCATTGATAATAAGAGGGAGAGGGCATGCTTCATAAACGTATGAAATCCGTATACGTTTGTCGGAATATTTGAAGCCCAAGGAACCATACACAATGGCGCAGAATTCGTGAAATGAAGATGATAAAGAAATATCAATAGAAATAGCGGATGGACTGTGAAACTGAATGTTACCATCCCACTCTCCATCTACCTTCATCATCACATGTATGCTCGGAGATTGGTGCGGATGACCTAGAAACTCCATGGATAGGGAAGAAACTCCACGTATGCTTGAAAAAAACCTTCGCGGTATATTTCTTGAGACATGAGCAAGGTAGTCAAAGTCGAAAGGCGCACTTGAAACGCTAGGGGCCTACCAGCGCCTGAGGCGCAAGGCGCAAATAAAGCGCTCGCCTGACTCTGGTGAAGCGCATTACTTAGATAAAATAACATATACTATTCTATAATTACCAAATATGATGTATGTAACATCATATTGAACCAAATGCATATAAAATCCAGGATTCAGCCATTTAAAGTCATGATTTACAAAAAATAAAACACCAAATTCAGAATTCATGGCTTTAATACTAAAACTATAAATAAAAGACAATCAAATTGGAGCCTATTTCCCCTTGTTAAACTTGTGAGCCTACATAGTACTATTACTTTATTAATAACATAGCAATATACTAGTGCTGTGAGTATCATAGAGTAATACAGAGTATTATGACTATTATATACAAAGCAATATACTAATGCTGTGAGTAATATAGAGTAATACTGAGTATTATTACTTTATTATATACATAACAATATACTAGTGCTGTGAGTAATAGAGTAATGCAGAGTATTAATACATTATTACGAGTAATATAGAGTATTATATACATAGAAATATACTAGTACTTTATTATATACATAGAAATATACTATAAGAGTATTTGGATGAAGAAGACGGCATGAAAAAGAACACATATCTTGTTTAGTGGTGTGAGGGAGAACTGAGTTTGCTTAAGATGATGAAGAAAACTGAAAGAACTGGCTGGTGTAGAGCAACTGAGTCAGAAGAGTGAGTAGGCTGAAGAGCCGATGATGGCTAGTGATATAACTTCGTCGCAAGGTTTTAAGTGGTTTAAATGGTTTTACCCTATTATTTAGATGGGCTGAGTGTTATTAAAGATATGGGCTAATTATATTTTAAAGTTTTAAACCAAAAAAAAGGCTTGTCAGCCTTTTCTGGATCAGGCGAGCCCGGCGTGCACCTCTTGTGCTTCAGCGCTTCATGCGCTTAATGCGCTTATTCTGCGCCTGACACAGGTACGTGCGCCTCCCCTTCTCCTAAGCGCTGAAGGCCCTGCTCGCTGCGCCTGGTGCGCTTAAGCGCTGGGGCGAGCGCTTTTGACTACCTTGGACATGAGGAATCGCTGATATCTTGACTTACCTATTTTAACGGATCCATCGATTAATGTAAAACAAATATATGGAAAGAAAAGAAGACGAAGGAGTATATTTTGCCCAAACATACTTACCGTAATAGTTTTATGAGGGCAGCGATGGAATGAAAAAAAATAAGTTGCACTGAGGTCATATGCTTTGGTTGACCGGTAAAACATATTAGGCATAAAAACGTTTAGGTCAGATTATGGGAAAATAGAGGAGTCTTAGTCATACTAGGGGTAAATTTCTCATATAATAATTGTATAACTAATTTAAATAGATATAATATACTACGTATATTAATAGGTGTAGAGAGAATTGGAGAAGATAGAGACGATTAAAGAATAATTAGAGATTAGGAAGAATTGGTGTAGGAAAATGTTTAGAAAATAGAAGTATTTATAGATTTTTTTTACCCAACCCACCCCAAACCCCCCAACCCCCCAGACCCCCTCTAACGGCTATAGAGTTGTTTGGCAACGGCTATGAGCCTAGGAGGGGCTGCAAAGCCATTTTTTTTAATATAGCCGTTGGCCCGGACCGGCCGGGCCGGTTCGCGATTTCAGAAGCCCGAAGCCTGTCCCTTTTACCCCCAGTTCGGGCCCCCATTCAAGGTCCTGGTACCGCTCAACGGGGCGGGTCAAGCCTGCACAGTACCAGGCCGGGCTGGGTCCCGGGTCGGGCCGACCCGTCTCAGTCCATCCCTACATGGACTTGCTATTACAAGGGGGTCAAGTACAAATTTGTGTAGCGAAGTACTGTTGTGAGCTTCTCTCTAGAATAGCAGAATGGCCACCTCTCCTTTGGTAGGAGTATATATAGGAGCGGATGAGCACTAGGCAGAGGCTTGTCAAGCATTAAAGACATCTGTTACCTCGTGAGTGGACCCGTACTTGAGCTATGTATGCTTCTAGTCCTGACCCTGCCAGCTAGCACCACCACCGGTTGGAGGGACATGACCAATTGGGCCAACCACTGGGAACAGTTGCTCGAGCCAGACTTAGAGAACAATGGAAACTATCTTCAATCTCTGGGTTTGAAGCCATGCTGGTACAAATGCGCCGGCCCATCAGCCTGGATACACTTGTTATAAATTAAAAGTATAGTTGAAAAAGAGAGTTTGTGGTTATGGTTTGACCAGGAATGAGTGGCACATGTGATCCATTCTTATGGGTAGGTTTCACCATAATCTGGTGCATCATGCACCAGATGCTTTTCACCACTGATCCACAAACAGTTACACAGTATATTCTTGATCAAAGGTGATAACAACCTCCCAACGATTGTTTGGAACTCCATCAACCACATGGAGCAAGTCATTGGTGTTTAAATATGTAGAGAAAAAATAAAAAGCAGAACAGTAGTTTATGGCACACAAGGAAAGGAAATGTAGACACTTTAAGAAACTAGAGCAGCTGTTAACAAAAACATATGAAAAAGTACTGCTTGTGTACATCTTCAGGGAGTTCAGGCGCCATAACATGAATATTTAAAAAATAACAGAGGAAACATGAAACAAAAAATTCAGGTCAGATTGCCATACGATAGAAAACACATCACATTTTGTGCAGCAACTCAATCAGCTCTGCTTTCTTCAATTTTGAGTACCGTTTAACACCACGAGACTTTGCAAGCTTTCTCAGTTCAGGCAGTGCCATTTCCTCGATCTTCTTACCACCAACTTCATCATCATCGTCGTCATCGTCATGATCATCATGTATGTCACTAGTCTCATCATCCTCTGTTATTTCATCAAACACATCCTCATGTAAACCAATTTTATTACCTTTCTCATCATTACCAGCAGATGCAACTGTCTTCAGAGTAGCTTCCTCAGAAGAATAACTAGGCTGAGTCTTGACCCTTGAAACTGGTGACCTCCGTCTGAAATCCGATTTCGGACGATCCAACACAATTGCTTCATTTTCTTGCTTTTCATTTGACACGTCTGTGGGACCGGAGTGGTCCTGAATGGAGTCAGAGCTGTTACCAGTTTTCTTCTCTTTCTGAACGGAATGTTTCCTTAAGAGCTTTAAAAGTGAATCCACGGTTTCACCCTCTATACCAACTTTACCCTTTGATGACTCCGGCCTCTCCACTTTCTTTTCTCCTTTGACCGCTACTTCTCTTTCACGGAGTTGGGCCTGAACCTTCCGGAACAGTTCAAGAATCTTTCGTTCTCTTGGGCGTAGAGTTGCAGTAGTTGGGGCTTTTGATGTTTTAGAAGATAAAATATCAGACTCTTCTAGGTTCTCATAATCATTGCCATCTCCACTTTGCCTGTTCTTATTACTTCGGGATGTTCCCTGCTTTGTGTACTTTGAATACTCCGGAGTCTTTCTAGGGTTGATAGAACTACTAGTAGCACTACAAGCGAAAGATGAACTCCTGAGAGTAGGTTCTAGGCATAAAGCATTGACCTTTCCAAATTTAGCACGAGATGGACATGGTGATATGTTGTTCACTAGTCTTAGGGATAGCCCAGAGCAGGGAAAACATTTTCCATCTGATAAACCACCAAATCCTGAAACAAGTTGTGGAAGAGTATTCTCTGAAAATTTAGCAACAAAGAAATGGTAAAACTGGTTTAAACCCTCTCAGTAAAATTATATCAGGACTTTAAAACTCTCGAACCTATTGGGTATTGAGTGTCATAACCCTCGAACTACTTTAGAATGGTAAAACTGTTTTGACTTTTGAACTACTGAACTACTTTGAAACATTTTCCGTCTGATAAAATTATGCCTATTGGGTGTCATAACTTTCGATTTCAGCTACTTAAGAGGCCATTGAGCGTGAATGGTTTTGAATCACCAAATCTAGCAACTTGTATGCAAAGTAATCCTCTTGGTCAACTGAACTACTGTGAAGTACCAGCTCCCCTAAGGACAAATGGTTTATCAATAATAGAAACAAGCACCCACACCTTCTTTCAATAAAACATTATAATGTTTCAATTACTTATTCTCCGGTGTACAAGAAATAATAATCGAAAATAATGCTGGAAAAACGAAACAAAAGAGTTTGCGATTAGTGCAAACCTTCTGAGACTCAGGCCAATTAAAAGAGTTCGCGAGTAGACCAGGCATTTCATCAAACAGAAAGCTTGCAAATAGTACAATTTGAAAAATCGGTAGCTAATCCCTCCAAATGGAACCTTTAAGTTATCATTCCACAATGAATACCGCAAAGCTAATGAAGCAAAGACTAAAAAAGGGATTTTTCTTATAAAACCTATTCAGATGGAACTATGGAAATGTTGTGCTTAACACCATATTGTTGTGCCCCGTGAATCATATTCCGTATTATAAACAGATAGCCGCGAATAAATCAGAGATGTTAACCTGAAAAACATTTGGCATAGAAATCAATCTGGAACGACATTGCATTTGAACTAAGCGAAGCTTAGAGCCGTTCAAATGGCGGGTTTGCTCCACTCGCTATTGTGTGGATAGCCGTATCTCAGGGTCGTCACTCGTCAGTGGGCTATTGACGGTTTGAGCCTTCCACTATCTTCGTCCTTTTCAAATTTCAATTCTTTAATTAAAAAAATTGTTTAAAATAGGAGTAAAAATGCAGTCCGTATATCCTACACCCGGATGTACGTACATCTGGTCCAATTAAACAAAAAGCCCAATAACAGATACAGCTCATAACAAAAGTGGTCCATTATTTTACTGGGAAAAGTAGCAATAAGCAATTGAAACGATTAATACAAAAATGGAAAAGTAACTCCTCTCAAAAATTGAACTGCTTTCTGAACAACTGTTCGCAAAAAGAGGCTAGCATTCATAGCCTCCTTATTTGAGCTCAAAAAACGAGGACAACCGGCAGAATTTTTGGTGGAGTTTTGCCGGAGTTTTTGTGCATTTACTGACGGAGTTTTTGCTGGAGTTGGCGAGAACCGGGAGAGTTTAAGCATCAACTTGTTCGTCTTTGAGCATTGAAAACAGGGATGGACTTAGTGAGCGAGCATCAAATGATGTTAAACGTAGAAGAGCATGACAATGCAGAAGCATCTGAGAGGTATATCATATAGAAATTATTCCAAATAGGACTAAAACTATGGCAAAAACTCAAAATAGGACTTACTATGTTTTTCTTTTCAAAATAGGACCAAATTAGTCCTATTGGAAACATAGCTATTTTTTCCTTCCATTCTTACCCTTCCTTTAAATATGAGTTAATTAAATGTTTAATTCATAATACATTCGAAAAAAATTCAAAAATTCGTAGAAAAATAATTAAAAAATTTATAAAATATTTATAAAATAAAAAATTAAAAAAAAAATTTTATTTTTTTTTATTTTTTTAAAAAATTAATAAAAAATAGTAAAACTCCATAAAAAAAATTAAAAAAATATGGATGTCTTTCCCACCGCCTGTACTACCTCCCTGCACCACAATCTCCGGGCGGTGAAAAAATGCCATTTTTCCTAAAAGCTGCCATTTTTTTCCTGAAATGCCAAAAACATAGCATATTTCTCTTTGAAAATGCCAACATTTTCATTATTTTCTGCCATAAACGTGGTATTCGTAATGAACTTGGCATTTTTTTCCCCGGTGACTGGAGGTGGTGGTGCAGAGGCGGCAGAGGTGGCGATGAATTTTATTTTATTTTTTTGAGTTTTTTATTTTTTTATTTTTTTTATTTATTTATTTTTTGAAAAAAAAATAAATTAAATAATTATTATCGAAATATTTTTATTAGTTTTTTAGGATTTTTTACGAATTTTTATTATTTTTTATCATTTTATTATGAATTAAAACATTTCAATAGCTAGAAGGGTATATTTGTCCAAGACACACATAATTAGTCCTATGAAAACATAGTTTAGCTTTTGATCTTATTTGTGCCAAGTGAGTGACTTTTAGTCCTATTTTGATAATTAACCCTATATCATATAATACTGTTTTAATTTATATTTTAGTAATGATTAACGAATATACTTGCATGTTGCAAAAATTACAGAAAAAATGAAATGATCTGAACATATCTGAAGTAGATTATGAATTTGATGTGTTATATGTGTTGATTAAGTAAACCAATGGAGGATTTGTTCAATATACGAAATGTAATGCTCATTTACTCGAATTTAAGTGATATAAATTATTAACTATTTAGAACATGATAATATTGTAGTTAGGTTACATGTAATGTGATAGAATACTCATTGTGTGGTATGTACTACTTATCTGTGAATAAAGTGATATGTGCTTTAATTTTTCTAAATTTATTGAAGAATGTGATTATGAGCGATAGTGTGACAATGGTGTGCCATTAAAAATCAATCGATACTCATTATCTAATTACTGTTTAAAATTACTATATAGAATTATGAGTTCATGAAGTGTTGTGCAATTTTTGTTTTACATTTTACTTGTTCTGTAATACAGTTTCATAAATAATTTGTGTATGCTCATAATGTAAATACATAATGCTCAATTTATAAAACTTTGTCAGATTTTTATATTACCGAAAACTAATTTAAAATATACTAGTTTAAAATAGTGTTTGTAGAGAATTATTTGTATGCGCAAAACTTGAAAACAAATGCTTATTTTAAAAAACATTATGTGAATACTATTTTTACAGATGATGTTAAGTTACAAATGATGTGATACTCATTATTTGATTATGGTTGTTATGGAATAAAGGTACATTATAATTATTTGATTACAGTGTACTTATTAAGTACTGAAATGCATTTGTGATTCATGAATGAATATCTCATACTCATTTTAATTATTAATGAAGGGTTTTAGATGTAAGGCCAAATAGTGAAATGCATTTTACTATTTGGTATATTACTCTTAATCTTGATTGACATTAAACACCGTAGTAATATTGAATGATGACAGATGCATATGTGAACTTCTGTGGTGATTTCAATTGGTGCTTATACACAAATTTAAGTATTAATGATCATTTTTAATAGGTTCTATGCTCATTTCATTTGTTACTTATACACAATTTTAAGGACTGACCCCTGAAAGTTAAAAGCATTCAATATAAAAGTAGGTCAACTTATTTTATTATTAAAAAAAATCGGGGGAGTGTTTTTTCAAAGTATTAGTAAGTTAGGTATAATGGCATTGTGTGAGTAAAGTGACTACAAAATGAAATAGCTAATTTTATGTAAAAGTGTCTTTTTGGAAAAACAGTAAATATTTGTGTTAATTGCGAAATAGTAAATATACACAATAATGATGATTGTATTGTTGAATGGTGACATTGAATTCATGAAGTTTATATTAATAATTATTACTAGTAAAGTGTATGCTCATTTTATTTGTTACTATACACAATTTGAGAACTGATCAATTGAAGTTAAGAACATTAAGTATGAAATTAGGTTTACTAATTTTCTTATTAAATACCAATTTGGGAAGTGTTTTTTCAAGCAATATTCATTTCAATACTCATTTTGTTAACACCTGTTACGCATTATATTAGAAAGAATTACTCAAAAAAATATTATATCAGGGGAATGAATGATTCAATAAAAGTAAAAACAAAAACAAACACATAGAGAGAAAAGAACATGTAAAGTCTATAAGTGCACATTAGAGAAACTAAAATGATAAGAAAAGGATAAAATATGTTCTTTTTGAATAATAAAAAAAGTATGTAAACAAAAACAAAGCTTTTAAGAGTGTTTTCAATTTTCAGGGTTCAATAAGTGAGGTACTTGGTGCAGTTGACTTTTTCCTTCCTCGGGCTTGATTTGATTTAATCTCAACAACACTTTTGCGCCGAACATTTCTTTCACCTTTTTTCCTTGAACCTTTGGGATTAGAAATTGTACCAACTCCAATTGAAGCTGAATCAATGTCTGAGAAGTAAATACTGCCATCTTGTTCTTCAACATCATGTTTCAATTTTTTGAATGACTCTTCACAAAGCAGCCTCGCGGACGCATTAGAATCAATAGAACACAGAAGTTTGTGGAGTTTCCTTTGCATTTTTATTCTCCAAACAGAAGGCAAAACATTAGAAGTATTGGATAACATAGATGACTGGCTCTATTCATCTGACTTTGCTATTCGAGTCCAACGTTTTAAAACATAAGAATCAGGAAGAACTTCAACGCAGTGGATATGATATATACGAAGACAATGGCAGCACAGAATACCAACTTCTTGAAACCTCTTACATGAACAATCAAAAAAATGTGATGTCGTGTTATACGAAACCCAATGCGAAAACTGATCAATATGAGGCATCCAAACTAAATATCGAATAACAGAACCAAAACAATGTTTAACCTCATGTTTCAAAGACATAGCACGAACAAACTCTTTCTCAAAAAGCTTGTAAGCATCAATCGTGTAAATTCGAGAAGCTTTATGTAATATACCAAGATGTGGGATTGATATATCGGGGAAGCCATCCCAACAACGTTGTTGATCTGATCTCTCATGACTCCGCCATTCACTAACAGCTTCACAAAAAAGTGATAAAAATCACAAAGAGAAGACGTTGCATTCAACTTTCTAGAAAAAGAATTATTCGTTGACTCGCTTCTTTGTGATGATAAAATGCCAGCAGAAAAGTAATCTTTTGAAAATGTTGGACACCATTTCTCCCTAAGTGCATATAGTTTCTTCAACCATGCATTTTCAGAACAATTGAAAGTACTGACCATCCTGCAAAAATTAAAATAAAAAAGAATAATAGTTTACATATCACAATTAAGCCATTACTCATTTGTATTTGAGGCCCATTCTCTCACTCAAATACCGAGGGCTCAAAACTCTGAGGCCGACATTTTATCAAAGCTCTCGGCTGAATCCCCGTAGCACCTCTCGAAGATTGCGAGGATTGAGGAACTCAGTCTCTCAAGCATACACGCCAGCCTCGTCATGCAAATACAACAAAGGTCAGAAAACTGGATCTCAGATATTGTCAACTTCATCTCCACAGGGCAGCTGCCCGAGGATGAAACCCGCGCCAAACTGGCAAAGATGAGGGCTCCAAGCTACACCATTGAAGATGGGAGGCTCTATAAACGATCCTACAACGGTACGTTACTCCGGTGCCTTCACCAAGATGAAGCCGAAGTCGCGATGGAGGAAGTGCACAGTGGCACTTGCTCAGCTCATTAGGGACCCTTCTCCATGTCCCGAAGGCTCATAGTCCAGGGCTACTTCTGGCCTACGATGGCCTGGGATTGTGCGGATCTCGCCCGAAGGTGCACCGCATGCCAACATTTTCAGAAGGCTCCCGGGAGGCCAGCAGTCAACTACGCCCCCATCAGCACAGCAATACCCTTCTCCAGGTGGGCATTGACCTTGTAGGCCCCCTGCCAAGGGGTACCTCCAACAACAGATACATCATCATGGCCATCGATTACTTCACCAAATGGGTGGAGGCTGAGCCCCTCGCCAGCTTACCGAGGCCAGGTGCCGCCACTTCGTCCTCAAGAACATCCTCACCAGGTTTGGTGTCCCCCACCAAATCATCTCCGACAATGGGACTCA